GATTGCGAGAGCCTAGTACACCTCACTACTCTGTTTCAATCACTAGCCGAGAGTGGAAATGTTGGCATCTCTCCTGTAATACAGTGCCAATGCAGTGCGATGGTGGAGCAAATGGACCCTAGGGAAGGTGTGATGGTAATGTGAGGGGCAGACAAATGCAGACGTCGAGGTTATCTGTTTACACCATTCGGCATGACTGTTGGAGGGCATTAAATCTCGACAATTGATTCACAATCCCCACTTCCTCATCACGTAAGTGCCACATAATGTGTAGGAGGTTTTGATAGTGCTCATTGAATTTGTATGGTGAGCTATCAGGAGAGGAGTCCGTGCAGATGGGGTTGGAGAAGTCGAAATGCGTGCACTACCTTGGATGCACTGATTGCGGCAGTTTCCTTCGCCCTTGTACGTACGTGAGTCGATGATGTGGTGGGCATGCAATGCTTCCAACCAAGAAAAACCCAAAGTGGTTTACACAGCAGTCCTTTTGGCCCATTCCACACCCAGGATTGAGGAGATAAATGAATATGACACCTCCTCACTTCACACATGCATTCCGCCTTCCCTCCTCGATGAACTTGGAGGGAAGTGAGGAGCAGTGGCATCACCAAGTCAACGCTCCAGTATTGTGTGAACACGCGAAGGATTCTCACACAACAGGCATTCCAACGTCCACACATGTGGGTTTGTGGTATGACGGTGAGGTTTGAAGGATGAGCCTCTTGCTTTGCGTGGCTCTAAACGACGTAGCAGACGAGAGCAATAACTAAACCTGCCTTTCTCCTCACTCCTCTTAAGCACTCGCATACACACCCTCACCCACACCCACACTTACAGATGCCCACACATCCACACACCTTGTGTACCCATTTGTGCAATACTCCTCCTCCGTCTCCTTCTCTCCCAACCTCTTCGCACCCTTCTCGAATCCTCCGCGTTCCCTTCAACCCCTTCTCCGCCTCCCCTAGCTCTCTCCCCACCCAAATCTCTACATACCCTCAATGTCTGTCCTCTCATGCCTCCAATCGCATCCTTGCTGATGTCCAAGTATTATGCCCTTGAGGTCATTTGTTGAAACCTCCCCATGCCTCCATTCCTGTCTCTCGTCCCTTCTGCAGCTGCGTGCCTCCTCCTCCTCCTCCTCCTCCTCCTCTCCCTTGCCCTCCCCTCTTGCCCTTCCTCCCTCACTCCTCCCTATCTCCGTCTTTGGGGTTATTGTGTCTGCACTGTTGCAGGTGTTCACTGACCGCCACCTTTGTCTGAAGAAGTGCCTAGACAGTGTGTGCGCGTGTTGCTTGACGGAATGCGAGATGCTGGTAAAATGATTTACCTCCCACCACCTTACAGATGGACTGTGTAATGTCAGCTTTGGGGAGACCTTTACACGGTTGGAGTGTTAAGGCGTCGGCAAGCTGAGGTACTAATTTCTCTCTCACCTCTTCCCTTTGAGCCCCTTTCCTCGTGTAGTCCCAACGAAATGGGCAAGTGAGACGAAAATCTTGCGTCACTAGAGCTGGAGAGAAAAAAATTACCCGTGCAAGTGAAATCCATTCTCACTTCTAAAACTTCTGTTTAACTCTCAAGTTTGTTGGAGGAAAGATTTGCTTTGCTTTTTCTCCTCACCTCAATCCAACCATCCTAAGGTGACAGTTAGTGAGTGAAACAAAATAGAATAAAATTTCTTCTCTCCCAAGACGGCAATGGGGCTATTAAAAGTCGTTATTAGTGCAATAATGTCATTGCCATCGCATAAATGAGACACTTTGTCAAGGTATTTAATTGTTGAGATTATGGCCATGTATATGAAACTTGGAGACGGGTCGGAATAGGGCTTGTGGAGGAGCTTCACAATCTTAAAACCGAACGTGTCACCTGCAAGCATTACGCCCATCTACCGGAGGTTGTAGCGACTCTCTCAGTATGGCGTTGAAATGTCTCAAAGTTCATCGTTGACAGGATACGTCTAAACTAACTATTGTCCACTTTGCAAATTTTTTCACCTCAAAGTGCCACAATCCGTGTGGACAATGTCAAGTGAGTAAATCGATCCTCCTCAGCTCTTGTCAAGAGACTTTGAAATAAAAAAATAAAGAGAATTTAAGACCTGACTTTCTGTTGATATTTGAAGGCAATTCTCTACCTCCTCATCATTGCGGTAAGCGATCTCCATCGAGATTTTGGTGTTCGAGTGATAGACGACTTGTCTTTTGGTCGCTTTTATTTTTTGCGTCCTGTTTATGGGCCTCTTCTAACCACTCAACATTACTTTCAAATGTTGAAATGTAGACACTAAGTCCTTACTAATTTTATGCATAATAAAATTCTAAGCACTGTCAATGTTGGGACTCCTCCTCATCTCCACCATCCTGCGTTCTCCAACCGACAAGCATGGGTGTGTTTCACACCTCTCGAATTATTAAAGCGCACTGTGCGGGGAGTGGTTGCTGTTGGTAAAATATGAGCATCCTCGGCTTCCAATGATGGACAGTGCGTTGGGAGCCCATCGTTGACGTGCACAGGTCAATCAAAATGAGGAATAGGCATGAGAACGACGATGTCGTTCGACTGATTATTCCTCTGAGGGTTTGAGAGACTCTCATAAATTTGACATTTTGAAAGACTGCCTCAAAGGTCTTAGAGTTCTCAATTTTCTTATTTTAAACTGTACACACTTTCTGCAGCCAATTTGATGGCTCATCAGACTTTTGAACTACTCTCTGTCTGTTTAGTCAACTTAAAAGTAATTGTAACGAACACTCCATTGCTGTGCCATTGCTAAAATAAGAGACAGTTGCAAACTCTCCAACAACTTTTGCATAACCACTCCTTCAAATAATAGCTCTTCTAGGTGAGGAGAAATTTCGGCTGCTTAATTTATTGGGCAAAATAGTCGGCACAGACATAAAAGGCTGCCCCAGCCTTAGCGCATCTCATCAGACGTGGCTCTGATTGTTTGATTGACATCCTTTTGCATGCCTTTCAAAGTATTTGGAGACGTCTAATGAGTGTTGTTGATGCATGTTAAGGGGAAAAAGAGGGACATTATTCTCCTTTTCCTCCTACTCCTTCTCCTGTGTCATAAAAGGCACGAAACAAGTTGGCATTAGTGAAGTGGCAGTAAAGGCGGAGGAGAAGCAGACACTTAACCGGGACTGACTCGCCCAAACAGGCATTTTATGCCGTGTAGGGTTTTTTTTTTGGCCAAGTGGTCGTGAATCTCGGCACATAATCACAACCTCTACACAGGCATATAAATTGAAAGAAATCCGACGTGATGACTTGATTTTAGTAACACTGGGATCTCGATTTTTTAACATTCACGCTCCCGTAGTTAATTTTTCCCTTATATAGTTTGCATGAATGTCAGCGATGTCTACTGTTTGAGTCAGAAGAGCAGGCAAATGCTGAAAGGCTTGATTTTTACTACACAGTAATATCCACATATACATGGAGCTAATTGACCTCATCGCTTTCCGTCAGATTCCTCTCTTTGATACCTTTATAGGAAGGACACCTCTTAAAATTGGGGACGTCAAAGGTCAATTATCGAATGCTTAATCGAACCTAACACCCACCATCACTCTTGTCCACCCTATTGGTGGATCTTTGAGGTACTTCTCCATAAAATGACGTCATCAGCAGTTCGGAATTTGTCCATGTCACTCAGATGAGCAGAGGCCATAAATGTAATCACAGCGATTTATTAACGCATAATTACAGCCAGAGATAAAGAGAGGGGAAGGGAGGGAGCGAGTTAGACCAAGAAATAGTTACTGTGAAAGTGTAAAAAGGAGGTGAAACAAACGCAAGATGTGTCTGTGTGGATTGTCGTCGTAATATACATAGTGTCCCTCCCCATCGTGTCTAGCGTCTGTTTCCCCCGCAAATTGTGCCCTTTTTACATGAAAAAATAGACGAAGGAAGTGAGATGACGAGTCAGATGGTGACTATGCCAGCTTGTCATGATTGTTATTTGGTCGTGACAAATGGTGCTGCTGATGATAATAATGGAGTGGTTTTAAATGCATTAGGTCATTTGAGGGAGCAAGTGATGGTGCTGGAAGTGGAGACAGGAATCACCTCTCCTTGCTAATCGATGAAAGACCGGTGGAATGAACAGAGCAGGAGAGAGAGCGAGCATTGAGAGCTAGAAGTATTGAGAAGGTGACATTATGATCTTCCATTCTCGTGCTCTCAGTCTACAAGAAAACTCAAAGTTAGTTTTACTTAAATCATAAAAGTAGAAGTTGTAATGCGCCTAAGGAACGCACCGTTTAGGTGATGACGGACAGACGCTGGGGGCAATTAACCGCAATGCCATTATCCGCATTCGGAACATCTGTTGAGACCGAGACTTCGCCTCCCAATACCTTCGTGGTCGCCTGTTGCAGACTCTGATAGCCTGTCATGCTCTGTGTGCTCATTGCATCATAGAATTGTGGTGTGTAGGTGGTGGGAAATTCCTGAGCTGCAGTAACCCCAACTTGGGGATAATAGGCGGTAATATAAGCAGTGGTATCGTAAATGGTGTCATCACCCATGGATATCGCATTGTACACTCCAGCCGTACTGTAATCTCCCCACTCAGCTTGTCTAGCACAGTCGTAGTTTGCTTGGTGGTAGTCTGCGGGCCGTTCTGCTCCAGACCGAATCATGTTGGATAGATCCAGAGCTGTCGAAAAGCCGGGTCGTTGGACATACTCATAAGCACTGTGAGTGCCGTAGGCAAAGCTCGTGTCCGCTGGTTCTGCAGGCAATTGGTTCAGAGATGGTTCAACTGAAGAGAACTTCGGAGCTACAGATGTAGTAATTTCCCTGCTTCCTCCACCTGCAACACTTGTACTATTACAACTGCTTGATAACCGCTTTATCAGTGGATGCTTTGTCTGAGTTGTCTTTGTTAGATTTAATACCTCCTCCACAAAAGCGTCCATCCGACCAGCAACTCGAGTCACTAAAACACGGGATCATTGCATAAATTTTTTACTTAATTAAATTTCAGTAGAAAATTTTACCTACCATGGGTAGTTGACGCAAGCCACTTGGCACGTGAAAATAAAGCACCAGTCTGCTCAGGATCGGAACTGCCTCCAGACTTTTCAGCATCTGCGCCTGCAGTGCTAGCACCTACCTTGACGGCAGCGCCTTTATCGCCGACTTGCTGAGACTGTTGAAGCAGCCTAGCGAGTGAGGGACTCACGCGCTGGGCAATCATCTTCTTCAAACTCGTGATCAGGCAGGCGAGCTCCTCTGGAACGAAGGAGACTTTTGAAACAACTTCAACAGATTTTAAAGAGGGATTTAATTTGAAATCGGCAATTCATCTTGTGCAAAAGTGGTGATAAAGGTGAATAGCTGTGTGTTTACATAGAAGTAACAAAGCTGTGAGGAAGTAACGAAAGGCAGGAGCCACAAATGCATGGTGGTCTTTTTACGGTTCATGATTAGCTTTCAGTTTGGGACGTTGTTAGCACTAGTCTTGCGGATGGTTAATTGGCTAATAGGACAAAATGAACCGAGAGCGCTCACACACAATAGGAGTCAGTCCAGTCGCCGCCACATCAAGTAGGCAATCAGATAAGGCAGGAGCAGCAGCAGCAGCAGCAGCAGCAGCGATGTTCCTCAACTCGCCAGTCGGGTATTTGTCTGTCACCCCTCATGCCGAACTGAGGCAGGGGTGATAATCAGATTCGTTGTGCAGAGTTAAACGCTCTTTACACTCCCCCTATTCCCATCCCTTCTATCATTTTTTTTTTGCGGTGGGACAAGCGGGTGGACAGAGAACAAGAGGGAGGCGAGTCACTTCTGTTTTGTTTTCGTGCTTCCACTGATTTTAGAGAAGGGGGGAGGGGATGAAGGAGGGAGAGAGAGATGGCGAGCTTTCATACCCATGTGCACTGATTGTGCTATGAAGACAAAGATATCTGATTTTCTGTTCCTCCTCCTCCTCCTCCTCCTCCTCTTGCTTGTCTTGATCGAAATTGACCACAGTCTAGTCCCTCCTTCCCTAAGTCCTGTCCCTCCGAATTCCTCACCCCTTTCACCACTGATATTCAATTAAGCATCACAAACAATGGCTTCCTTGTGGTTTATGCAAATTACTACTAATTAGAATGTCTGTCTTTTCATCTCGCATCTCTGCTCCTCAAACAAGGGATAAAATTTCGAAATTAAATCGAGCATGTGTAGATTACATCCATCACAGACCCACTTTGTTTGCCCTCTCTCCTCTCTCTCCCCCTTCCTCCTCCTCCTCCTTCTCTCCTTGGCCTCTTCGCTTGCCCTCAAACATTTATCCGTGACAGGATGCTTTGTTACTTCCTCACCTAAGCTGAGATGATAAAATCCCTCCACAATTTCATTTCTGTGTGCCCTTATGGGCCAGACATTGTGGCAAGTAGGGCAAAAATTCAAGCACCGTATCAGCAGGCGTGCACAGATGCCACATAAATATATTTATATGCATACATATACACACACACACACACACGCCTCTGGTCTCTGCGCCCCACGCACCACATGCACACATATGGTAATTACCTACACCTCCCGCAACTCCATACGCAAAACGATCAACTGCATAGATCATGAGGTTAATGTCGCATAGGCACTACCGATTGTCACACTCTGTCGTGCCCACTCTTTTCCTTCCACTTTCGGATGTTTTGAATGAGGTCCACCACGACGTGGATAATTTGGTAGCAAAAGGCGAAACTTACTGTACTCCAGTCCAAGACCTGTGTATTTGATTTTGTTGGACTCGTGGAAGGCCTTCTTCTTTAGCCGACAAATCCTACAACAAAGGAAGGGGGATGATGTAGTCGCACTTCCACTCCACCTTTGCTTGAGGACGACTGCACATTGTGGTGGATGGACTTAACTAGAAATCTGTTGGCTTAAAACTTTTTTTGCATTTTTTCCACTGAAAAATGGCTGAGATACTAAGTTTAGATTGTTAGGGACTTTTTCACCTCTGGACACATAAAATAAGGTCTAGAAGGTGTTGAACACCTTTCAAAACCCACAACATGGTGCGATGTCATGCTGAAGGTGTTGGATTGTGTCTTGACTAAAGTGCCTCAACCACACCCTCTCACCCTACCTTATGCATCCTGTGAACACAAAGTGGCCTTCATTAAATCACACTTGTTCACCTAAAGCAGAAGTCTGTCCAAAATGCTCGCCTCCAAAAGTCAGTGTGTTGTCTACGACGTGGTGAAGGTTCTGCACTGGAAAACTGCTGCATTCTTAAGGCAGGTAAAATGCAATCTTTCAGCCCCTTCCATCAGCAAGGATTACGAGGTATGCATGGTTGCGACAGAATAGATGTTTAGCTAAAACTATTATTTCTTTTTTTTATTTAAGGCAGCCAGTTCTTCTATGCCTTCAACGCTTCCTGCATCGTGTTTTCAGCAGTCCTCTAATCGGAGGCTATAAAGTCACTCGAGACAGGGCTAACGCTTTTTTTGAGTTAACAACAATTTTACGTAAAGAATTTCACTTAATTATGCACAAATTACCGAAAAATATTTTAGTTTAGATGTTTAAGTGTCGTGTGCAGCTCAAACCAGGCGAAGGTGGAGGGTGTTTGAGCAAGACTTTTGTCAAATCACACATACACATTTGAAGGAGTTCTCGTCCTCCTTCAGGAAAAGCTACTCAAGACGTTGTATTGTTCTTTCTTTCTGATCTCTTTACAATGTTTTAGACTTATCTGAGCAGAGAGAAAGAGGGAGACTTATTTTACCCTTTGTAGTTATCAAAAAATTAGCTTACTTGCTGGCTAATTTATTTTTCTCCCTTTTGGCCTCTTCAACACGCCAGGACGGTGGTACAACAGCCTCCATGTCAAAGCGTGAGGGTGGGAGGAGTCCATTCAAATCGCCGCCTCCCCCTCCACCACCTCCTGTTGATCCACTGCCACCGCCTCCTCCACCAGCCATTATGATCTCCCCTTGGCGTGTTATCTGTGCTGACAGTCGGTCCAACTCATCACCCATGGAGCGTAGTCGCAAGATATTCGGTGTCACGTCGTTTCCATCACCCCGACGCAGCTTTGAGCAGTGCACCAGATCGTTGCGCTTCTGAACTGGATCCTCAAACACCACAAGAGGATACTGGGGTAGGGAGTGAGCAGCAATAGAACAATTTCCCACTCCACTCACACCTATGCTGCTGCTACCATCGTAGCAGCTACTCAAAGGACTAGTAGAGGTGGAAAGAGGTGAAGTGGCTCCACCGTTGATCAGTCGCATGGCTTTGGGACCCTTGCACTGCGCGTTGTACTGCCAGAAGTAGGCGGAGGGTGTGATACCACCTGCACCAGTTACCGAACTGTTTGAAGAAACTATAAATAAAAAAAGGGGTTTGTACTGTGACGTGCTTCAACCGATCATCAGTACGCCCTCCTTATTGGCTTGAAGCTTGAAGTAACAAAGTCGTCTTCCCTCCTCACCATTGCTTTACTGACAAGTTGGAAGGGAGGTAAATCAAAAGTTGATGTGAGCCAATTCGATACACCTGAATGTCATATGTGATGGCAATTCTCTGCCACTCACCTGATCACTCGTTGCTAATCATATGTAAATAATCAATCATGGCACTATGGTGGCACGAAACTCTACTCGTGGCATACATCTGTACTGCCTGGAGACATGTGCACTTCCATGTGGCTACAGAGGGAACTCTTGTGGCAGCATTAAAGGCGAGACAGTGGATCCGACGGGATGCTTTTATCGGCCCAGCCTCAAGCCATCGGTGGGTGGATACCCATGACGGGTCAAAGTGTCACACCCTTCTGATCACGTCACGCCACCCTGGTCCCTCCGCCACAGCTTTCATGCGGAGTGGTAGTACAGGTTTTTTGTCACTTTGTCGAAAAGGTGATGGAAAGACTTTTTTGCGTTAAATGTATTTGGTTGTGAGGCAACACAGAGGATCTTAAAGCTGTGTCCCTCTTCCCGCAAATCTGGTCTTACTCCACCCTAGACGGCTCGGAGCGGAGAATGTGGTCGTTTCCCTTCACAATGATGCGTCCCGATGCGAATGGGCAGAGGAAAAAAGGAAAAAAAACAAATAAACAAACAAACCTTTTTTAGAGCTTAAAGCACTCCAAATCTTGAATCAGAAACTTTGCTCTCATCGGCAAGCAAAAGGATTCAGGTGAACTACTCAAATTTTTTTGTCCTCTCATTTGTGCAGTAAAATGATTTACAGAGCTGATCAAATGCCTAGTTGAACTCACTTTTTGACCTTCATTGGTAAAAGAAAAAAAGAAGTTATTTAGTTATTGGAGCAATCTAAACGGTCAACACAGAAGTACTCAATTGGCTAGCTGTCAAGCAGTGGTCAGAAATCAATGCAAGTTCTTGTGCACTCTGATTTTGACAACAATTTTAGTGGTTAGTGGCACTCAGGACAATTTTAGTAATTTTAACTACTCCACTGTCTCTGACATTGCTTTGGTGAAGTTGAAAAAAGGCAAAATTGAGGGTGTAGTGTGAATGTGTGTGTGTGTGTGTTTCAATTTATTGTTCAAAGTTTATGGCAATTAAGCAGAAACTGAACCTTTCTACCTCTTGACCTGAAGACTTTTTTTTGTGTGTGTGTGCGTGTGTGCCGTTTTTCCTCCCCGCAGCATTGACGGCAACAGGCGTGAGTTTTGCGCAGTTTTCGAGGTAGTTGTGAGTTCACCCCACCTAAACGGTTGCTACCGTTGACCCCGAATCGACGGAATTGTAGCTAATAGGCCTCTCTTGCTCTCGCATTCCACCCGCGCCCCCCCTACCCTCCCCCTTCTCTGCCCCCCCCCTCTGGCCCTCGCCTTCCACACCTTCACCACGGTTGCCCTCTTTAATAACACTTACGACTGTTACAGTCATAAACTCATTAAACTACTCAACTTTCTTTAGTCTGCTACACACTTTAGGACTCCATATTTGAAGTCGCCAAGTTGACTCGGATTCCTCTACACCGGTGGTGCAATGAAGAACTCGGATGAGAAGCTCTTCCAATTCCAACAGTCTAGCAAAATGGTGGTCTCGGTGGCTCGGTTAGTGGGTTGAAAGTGGTCAGACTTGGTCACAGTGACGGACCAACAGCCTCCGGAGGCGCATGCCATCCTTGGAGGGCCAAGATTGCTCAGAAGCGTCAAGACACGCACTTTTGTGGTCTCGTGGAGAGAGTGGACGTGAATGAGACGATGAACATCTTCTAACTGCAAATGGTTTTTAAGATGCAAGTCACGTGTGGAGGAAGTCACAGAAAACAGCCTTCAAGGCGGTACCGAACTTCACTCCCACCTTATTTTATCCACACTTCGAGGAGGAAATTAACGATTACTCCCACACTTCCAAGCCGTACGCTATTGACATTTGACATTAAAGCCCATACAACGAATGCGGCTGAAGGGGATGGGGATGCGGGTTTAATTAGGTCTCCTCATCACCTTCTTTCTGCACTAGGAAGTGTGTCTAAGTCATAAAACTTTTGAGCACTTATTAAACCTTCACCTTTGACCCCTCTGCCTCCTCCAATTCTTCACTCTCCCTCACCATCTCATCAACGGCCACCATCGTGGAGTTTCAACAGTCGTAAAAAGAAGGAAAGAATTACCAAATCCTTCTCGCGGTTCCCTTGCACGTGTGAAATGCCTAATTACCGAATTGAAGCGTTCAGTAATAAAAATGGTTTGCGAAGGGTATTTTATTCCTTAATAAGTGCTTTTTATCGTGGAGGGGCGGTTTGTGAAAATTAATCGCTACAGATCACCGGTAAAATTATTTGAATCGACGCTAAATTCTATCGGAGGAGGGCTGCTCAAACCGTTACTTGTCAAACAAGGAGATCAAAAACCTGATGTTGAAGCGTTTCCAAGTGGATGACGATTTGCAGTCTACGAGGCTTTAGTCGTCCTCCAAATCAGGCAGTCAACAAAGCTGACTGCTCATTTTGAACTCGCAAAGTGGACCATTGGCAGGAGACCCAGCTGACCATGTATTTGATGCGAGAGCGGTTATAGGAAGCGATGGATGATGGCAGAACGCTTGATAGGGATGGCAGATGAAGTCACTATTCCAATCGAGGTCGTTCAGCCTTAATAAAGTTCCAGCACAATGGCAAAATGCGTCCCAAACAACAGCACCACCATTTGTATGGTTTGTGCGTCCGTCTATTCGCTTGTATGAAATCGAAGCAGCACATCAAGATGGTCGGGTTGGCCTTAGACGACTTCCCAGAAGTGTGGGTGTAAAATCATTGCCGCGCCTTCCAAATGGAGGAAGAAAGTGGCAGGAGAACACCATGCACGCAGGCAGGTAGGATTTGAAGCGTGGACATGAAGGCACCATCTGGTTGTGCAATGGCGCCTACAGAGGCACGTGTACTCGTCCACGCATTGAGGCCACCTTATTATCCACGTCCACAAACCGTGCCATGGTGACAGTGTGTGTGTGTGTGTTTGCCAATGCGTGTTTGTGTGTTCGTACAACTGCGTCACCTGTCGACTACGGAGAGGCTTTCCTTTTTTCTTCCCTCCATAATATGATGAAGGCTGTTGGGGAGTGGAGGGGAGGAGAGGGGCGGTAAGGGTGGCGGCCTCGTACGCAATCCTGCCTACCGTTCCTAGCCCCTTCGAATGCCACTCTGCTTCGGCCGTTGCGTTGCATGGAGAGAGAGAGAGAGAGAGACTAAGGCCCGCTACGTGAGAGAGTTAGTATGGCTGCAACGCCATCTGCACATGGCATCACACAGTGGGGCGAAAAAGTGACTTTAAAC